TAGATGTTTTAGCCGCATCCATTTTTTGCAATCTGTTTCATTAAATGTGTAGGTAGCAAAATGTGGTACACTTATACACTTATATAAAATCGAACGGTTTAGAACAGAACATCATCAGCCTCATCAAACATGCTACACAGAGGAGCTCAGATCTCATTTCGATACAAACCCATATCGCAACGTTGGTTGTCTATCCTATTATTCACTTGTATCTCCATAACATGGTTGGTTTCATATCCCCATCTTGATACATATGTTCCTATCCCCAATACAACCATCATTGTTGGCAACCCCCTAGCTATTCTTGGTATCCCAGCTCACACCAAAAACATCCACTACCCTCCGGTAATCAAACATGGCGTGCTGTAAAATTCAGCATTTACAGATGATTTTCCCAGCAAACTAAACCTCCATGGCTAGGCCACCGGGATTTCCCAGTAAAATCTTCACCGTTTTTCTACCAGAGGGTCAGATTAAAAAACCTCTTGAGAGAATCCCTAGTTTTTTTCATGATTTTCATGGTGAAAACATGTTAAAACCTTCATTTTGATGGTTAAAACCATGTTAAAACCTTCCTATCCCCATGGTTTTCAAGCCTTCTGAAAACAAAATCATGGCTTCATGGCGTCATGGCAGGACGACTGCCCGTCCTTGGCAGAAGTCTTAAAGGTGGTGCGCCGAAGCGTCTGGTCCAGGCGGGAAACAGGGCTGGTGGGGGTTGGGCGGGGCGCCCTGTTGGGATTCCTTGGGGGCATGAAATATGGTCATTCATCTGGGTAAATTATAACGACCTCACTGCGACCGAACCCTGGAATCATGGTTAATAAGGGAAATCATCCCCAAATGGCCCAACAATTCAGGTTAGTGAAATATTATAATTTGCCCAGATTCATTAGGGATTCTAGGGTTTCCAAGCATCAAAATTCATGGGGATATAGCTGGATATCACTGATAAGTGATGGTTGGCATGGTTGCATGGTTGATGAGTTCGGGGATTATGCTGCCCAATATATTGGGGATGATCATAGTCCATGAACGGGGAATCCCGTTCTTAACCAACCAGGATAAAAGGTTCCATGACAGAGGGATTTATTTCACACTGTTCAAGAGGAGATTCAGCCAGGCACAGGGTTTCAACCATCAAACATAGGAATTTCCATGGATTTCCGCAGGGAAGAATGGATCTGGTCAGGAGCTTTATTCGGCACAACAGATGGTGACCCAAAATGTGGTGGTTTCCATAGTCATGGCACCCCAATAGCTGGATGGTTTATGAATCATGGAAAATCCGAAAACACAATGGATGATTTACTGTAGGGGTACCACCATTTTAGGAAACCTACATGTTTAATCATTTGGAAGGCTTTTGTTTATGGTTTTCAAATGGAGTTCCAGAATTTAGACATGGTAACGCCCCAAGCAACCGCCCATGATGTTAAACGGATGATTAGGCACAGGCTTTTAGGCACATGGCCTTTACTCCAACCCTATTCCAAAAAATGGAACTGTAACCACCAAAAAATGCGCACGATCTGTGATCGTCTTTGGGTTTATCTTGAGTCCGGTAGGGTCTGAGTGCTAGCCACCTTCATGCAACAACAGCTATTTGGGTTTGTCTGCAAAATTCAAGGGAACACCTCTAAATCCGACTCATCATCATTATCCCTGTAAAAAGTGGCAAAATTGGGAAGGGTGGGTGGGTGGTAGTATACCCCATTTTCAGAGAAATCGCCCCAAATTTTCACATGTATTTTAACGATGGATCCAAACCAAAAACCTGTTTTTTGACTCAGAAGTTTCTGGTCATTTAAATTTTCTTCAGCCACTGGGAAACATGTCGAGATGGCAAGCCGGGCAGGTGGGAGAACAAAGCAGGAAAGGACCTGCTCACACTGTCGCAGGCAGGGACGCCCATTTTTTATCATTTTTTATCCAAGATTGGAATTTTGTTTCGCCCAAGCGAGCCATATCGCATCAACTGCCGAAGTTTTTTCAAAACACCATTCAGTGGAGATGGATCCACTTTGATCTTGATGACATGGATATGAGTGCAGGATTCTTGGACATGTGGATGTTATACCCTGGACTTGTGCATTTGGCAAGCCCAGTTGACAGCTTACTTTGGCTATTCATCCCCAATTTGCGGCTAATCATGGCGGAAATGATGAACTTGGCTGTTGTAATTAGGCTTTTTCCCAACATTTTCATAGATGCCCGGAAATCGTATCTCCCAGGTATGGCTTTGTCTGAAAATTGGTGGCATTCCTTGACATTCATGGGTAAATCATTAAATCATCCCTTTCTGGCTTACTTTCAATGGCAGTCTTGGTGGCAAATCCCTGATTTTTCCTACACCATACACCCAATGACACTATCAAAACGTGTCTAAGTAAACAGTATATTCATCCTACCAATTGCATACCTTGGAATATTCTAAGTTAACCCTTTTCACTCAAAAAAGGCTTTACCCTATCGTAATCTAACATAGCTATGGAAAATCACCATTCTTAAACACATCATCCATAACTAGGCAATTTTCCAGCGGGTATTCCACAATAAACCAGAAGGTGATATTTTCCCTGGTGATAAGTTAGTTTCTAAACCCCATTAACTAGTTCTCTTTCGCCATAAACAATACTTATTTGGGGGCATCAATCCCATTTTTAGACAAAACTCATAAAAACCATGATGAAAACATCCTTGGGCTCCTTGGATTTAAGTAGCCAGTCCATAGACTTGTCGATGGGATGACCTTGAGCATGGCAGCATGGCAGCATGGCACGGCGCCAGGAGCGAGGTTCGTCCATGGCCTACTCTATGCTTGCCAAGGCTCTGTGCTAATGATATGCCCAAAGCCTTTTTTTTAACCAGAGCTTGATGGGTGCTGTATGGGATCAACAAAATCTTGGGGCTCTTCACCGATGAGCGCCCGAAATGATGGTTACAGATGTGGGGTTCTACCAGCTGGTTTCATGGGGATTACGGACTACTCCAAGGTGGAACCACCCGCAAGCGGGTTTTGCGCGCTGCTCAAACGGCACAGCATGAATGGTACCCCAGTGAATTCACTAGGGTAAGTTGGATCAGTCCAGTCACGTTTTTTTCAAAAGCCCACTTACGATTCCTAAAAATCAACCATCAACCATTGTTTGTCAATCATATCCCCATATTTAACCCCTTTGTATAGTAGCTCCCGAAGATCGAAAAGTGTTTCCGGGATGGTAGTTTGATATTTACCTCATATTTTTAGAATTGTATGGGCACGTAGCTAGTAGTGAAGCCTGGTATCATGTAGGTCCTATAGGTGGGAAGCCGAGAGGCTTCCGCCACCGATGCTGCCAGTCCTTGGGCATGGTGAAGGAGGTGAAACGAGAGTTCTACGAAGAGCGACAGGTCATGGCAAGAAACGAGAGCGAGAAAATACAACTACAGTATATCTATGGTATAAGATTAGTTAATATATATATATATGTACAGTATATGATATATATATATATATATATAAATAATCCCCCTTACAATATCCCTTATAGATTGGCGCCACCCGGGGGGCGCGATTTGTAAAAAATAATCGCGGACCCAGGGGTAAAATCAAAAATTAAAATTGCTTATAAACCGAAGTCTTTTGCAATAACGGCTTTGGGAAAATCCCTACTTGAAACTGTCATTTTATAAACCACCCCTTTTTCTGGGGGCTATAAAATGGCAAACCCCCGTATCTCCTCAGGAGAAAACATGGGGGGCGGGGTCAGCATTAAAAAAAAAATTGTATATTTGTTTTTTACTACATGTTGGGGTTATAAAATCATGGTTCCTTTTAAACTTGTCATGTATAGACTCTAGTTGTCATTTAATAAACATTTGGAGAACATTGCCTTATAAAATGATGGTTCGGAAAGCTTGTAATGGAGCAATAAAGGTACACTTACTTTGCAAATCTTTGCAATAGAAACAATTTCTTTTGATAATTACAGGTTTTACCAGCACAAACTGAGAAAAACATACCCGGAGAATCCCGGAGAAATCAGGTTTGCACAGTTTTTGTTCTTATAAGATGCCCTGGAGGTGCCTTATAGAATGACAGTTTGTCACCTTCAATTCTATCTTAGTATAAATTGGTAGTATTTCCACTCCCACCTTATAAAATGGAGTTTGCAGCTGTCCAAAAAAGTAAAATTTGAAATCAAGGTCTGTAAGCGATTTTGAGGCGATTTTGGTACCTATGGTCCGTCAATTAATAAGCTTGATGCTTTCTCTATAAAATGCTAATTGGTATTCCCTATATTGCTGTAGTCTGGATAATTGCCATTTTATAAGCATTTGGTACCATGGATCTCTCATTTCATAAGGATGCTCTTATAAATCGCGCCCCCCGGGTTCAGTTTCTAATTGTAAGGGGAATTATATATATATACATCTACAATGATATATATATATATATATATATTATTATAGATATCTTTAATACTATGATAATATTATCTTATCAATGAATCATCATATTGTTAACATGGTATATATATATATAGTGAATACTAGAATATCTGTAGCTAACTCATGTGGTAGTTAATATGGTTTGATATCGTTTAATGTGGTTTATATGATCATACAAATATACAAACGAACACCTATATTATATATCGACCAGATGATTATTTACGCTTTTCCCACTTATATTAACAATTATGCGTGGATATAATGGTGAAATATACCCTTTGGTAAACTAACATAAGTATGGAAAATCACCATTTTTCATGGGAAAATCAACGAACTAAATGGCCATGGCTTCAAGAGCTAACTGTGAATGTTTACCAGAGGGTACCGCGCTCAACTGTAGATTCAGCTCACCTAAAGCATTTCTCATGGGGGATTCAACCAAACAAACTTCAATTGCTATGGGGAAAGTGAAGTCTCTTTGAACCATGGATTTTTTAGGCCAAGCACAGGGATATCACCGCAATCTTTTTGAGGGGCCTCCCAAAGGTCACTCACTGGTTCTTCAGGGCGAATCTGAAGCATGGAAAATCTCTGGTAAACTAACGCAGCTCGCGAACTGGAGAATCACCATTTTTAATAGGTAAATCCACGAACCAAATGGATGGAAAATCACCATTTTCAAAGGTAAATCAACAGGTAAACATATAAAAAACTATGGAAAATCACAATTTTTCATAGGTAAATCAACGAACTTTCTATGGCCATGGCTTCAATAGCAAACTGTAACAAATTACCAGAGGGTATTGCCAGATTTGGGGAAGTTCGTTGAATGCCCATGGGCGCAGCGGGTTGAAAAATGGGAGATTTCAGACGCAAAAAATGGAGGGCTGAACCGTTTTCCAGCCTTAACTTTTGGAGTTTCATGGGGAAAAAGACGTTTGTTCAATGGATTGGTTTAAGGGAACATTTACAGGAACACCCCATATTTAATGGGAAAATCGATGGTTTCCGGTTAAGATTTTCCCTTAAACCAATCCATTGATTTGTGTCTTTTCATTTTAGAGGAAAAAAATGGGCCTGGATTTTCGACAAGGCGAGCCTACCAACTGAAGTCAGGGATTCATTGAATAATGGATGGAACAGCCCCTTGTGAAAAAACCTGTTCCATCCTCTTGTGAAAACGTGGATTTTTTTGTGGTGCTTGGATTCCAAGCTGGTGATCGTTTTTCTTGTGATTCGAAGTATCCCAAGCATCCCCAGCTAGATTTGTATATAGGCTATATACATGCATATGTTTGGTCATCCAATGAATATTTATTGATTGGTTGAATATGTCCACTGGTTTTAACAGGATGAAGATCCTGAACTTCAAAAAAATTGATTCACCACTTCAGCCCCTCCAGCCCACTGTGGAGGCTTTTTTTGAGCCTAGTCAAAAAACATGTTTTTCTAATGGATTATACGCCTACCTGGTTGGTGGTGACTGGAACATGAATTTGATTTTCCATTTCATATATGGAACAAATTTGGAATAAGAATCCCAAAACTGACTAATACACCAACCAGCTACTTCTCCGGAAAAACTCACAGGGATGTGACCAGCTACGACCGATCGTGGCTCCCCTCCGCTCGCCTCCGCTCCCGTCACCAGACGGTTTGGGTCTTTGTGAATGGCGACATCCAGCCACGACGTGCCACCGTTATGGAGGACCAATCCATGGGAAACCACCAGGGTTTTTACCAATGACCAGACTCTGGTCATTGAAGACTTTGCGAACTGGAAAATGGACCATTTATACTATACAGATGGATTATGATGACTTACCATTTCAAAAATGGTGATATTCCATTGCTATGTTAAATAACCAGAAGGTACATCATACATACATTGGTATTCCCATGATATTTTCCAAACAGATTCAACCACACATTCGCAACCCGCATGATATTTCCATACTTTTTTTCGGAACTGGGTAACTGGATCATCCCACTTAGAAAGTGCAGCATAAACATGGGGCCAACTGTTTCGCCACCACAGGGATGATAAATAGCAATAAACCAGCACCAAAGCCGGGATAATCTAGGAAAAAGGCGCTGGCAGATTTTCTGATCGGGATTACAACTCTTCACCCAAAATGACGACCGGATCTGGATTTTCCTGCAATCAAAAGGGGGTTTTGTGATTCAGCAAACATGGGGATATTCACATTTTCTGCAAAGCGCCTTGTGGTTTAGAAGTATGAGATGGCAAACATTCGATAAACATTTCCACCAGAATTTGCAGCCATTCAAACAATTTCATCCTGAGGACACACCTGAAGAATGCGACGATGTGCTCTTGGAGTACCTTGCGACGTGATGTGCTGTGATTTGATGGTAAGAAAAATTATGTAGTGGGATCATTCTCTGGTGCTAAGTCCGTAGGGTTGCTGGATGGGTTTGCTGGATGGGTTGCTGGGATTACTATTGATAGTTAGCCAGTGGACCATTCCCGAAAATTCCCTACGTTTAGCACAAGTAAGTCAAATGGGCATCGGGATTATGATCATGATCATCATCGCCGTCGTCATCGTCATCATCATCCCAGGTCTTACCCTTTGGCAATCAAACATGGCAATGGAAAACCCATTGTTTATATATAATATATGTTTTTTCCTTTTCCAGCTATAAACCTTCATTTTTAGGGGATTTCCCATTGCTACGTTTGATTACCAGTGGGTAAATCCAATATCTACTATCCTTTTATTGGCATTTCCATTGTGATAAGTTGGGATGAAAACACTACCAATTTAACTATTTATGATACTGTAATTGATGATGATAATCCGCATCAGCAATGCACATCTTTATTTATGATTATATCTACTTATTATCATTCATTTTTGTCATTATTGCTATCATTTTTTTAATCTCATTACTATCATTGTTATCATGATTGTCTTTATTATAATTGATGATTATGAGACTGTGATTATAATAAATGTCAATAATAGTAATGATTATTATAATCACAGTCTCATTACTATTATTGTTATCATTGTTATCATGACAATGCGAATTGATTGTGTCTCAAAGACTTCCATATCGGCTATTGGAATTGGAATTCTGGATGAAGCCTTGATGCTAGTCCCAAGAAGGCCCGGAGATCTTGCCAGGACAGCTACTCTGTTTGAAGAATCCATGGAACATCTTGCAAGTTGAACTTACATCATGGGAAACTGGCTTTGATACCTTAAAATTATTGGACATGCCTCAAATTTTAGATGCTTCCTCCTCATTTTCGCTCGTGAGTATGGTTTCTATTTCGGGCATCAAGGGACAGCAAAACTTTTGAACTGGGGCTAACTTCAAGTCCCATGGATTACAATAACAACACATATTGAAACCCAACAAACGTGGGTAAACTTTGGCGTAAAAACGACCACGTTTTTCCATGATACATCATTCATAAAATTATATTCTCATTGCATTTTCCCAAAGTATCAACCACGATTTTCATCCCCGTTAAACCATGCTATTTCCATACTACTTGGAGGACCATCCCATTTAGTAAGTGGTTATTGTTTGTGGCATTTGTTTAGCCACTTGCAAATCCCCATTCAGTAGATTATCCAATTTAATCCAATTTATACACTTACCACGTGCTAAATGGGATGTTTTTTCCATACGATTATCATATTATTTTAACGCTTTTCCCATGATATTCCAATGATACCACAATTATATAAGTCCTATTAAACCATGATCTTTCCAGTTGTAGACAGTATGAAACATTCCTGAACCCAGTTAACCATAATCATTATCCCGCATAGACGTCCCAGTTGACCATGTTCTTCGCAGACTATTCTCATACAAGTCCAATAATACCATGATTAATCACCATAAAAACATGATAGCATTTATTGAACATGATTACATATTATTCCAGATTATTCCAGATGATCAACCATTCGAAAAAGCATGATCAAATCCATAGACATCCACTAAATCATAGAATTGGATTATGGGAAAATTGGAACCGGAAAGCCCAACCAATTTGATGGTCAAAACCCATGGGTTTCCGGTTAAAATTTTCCCTTAAACCAATCCAATGAAGGGAATATCCCCAGAAAATATGGCCAAACATACCATAATACCTGAAATACATTCCATTTTTGTATTTGTTGAATATTGGGACATTTAATGACCCATGTCCACTAAAGCATGATATTTCCCATAGGATTCCCGTCAGGGCGTCAAGGCACCTTTTTTCTCGACCAGGTTCTGGGACGGCGACGACCCGCCAGAGCGAGTGGAACGCTGCTTGATCCGGGCGATGTGGCCGGGGAAACCCGGTCCATAGGATCCATGGGAGGCTGAGATGTTGAGACTTCAGATTCAAAATGGGAAAATGATATGAGAAATGGGGTTTTGAATGTTCTTTTTCTTTTTTTGGGGGGATTTCATGAATTTTCATGATATTTAATGGGATTCAAATGGGATTTTAAATGGGGTTTCCGGGGTTTCATGATATTTAACGGGATTTCATGATATTTCATGGAATCGTTAATGAGATTTCATGGTTGAATATCATAGGAACATCAACCATGGCTGGGACATGTCCTGAATTCATGATATTTCAGTTGAACTACATGGCTTAGTTCGCTGGGAAAAGTCGTGAGATTTTTCCAGAATTGGGATGGTTTTAGCCGAGTTCACCGAGCGTTTTAAGTAAGTGGAGATAGCCGATCGCCGAACTATCCGTGGCTGAGAAGTGTCCGTTCGGAGGATTTCCAGCCATGTGACTGATGACACCGGTATCATTGATTATGATCCATCATGATCCATCTATTTTCCTTATTGAGGTCAATGTCATTTACATTCATTTACTGCATATCCCATTTACAACTGGCGGTTTTTGTGTGTATAAATTTCAGGGTCCAAATTCAAGGGCCAATCCCCCAGGCCGGGGGTCGCTGCTGTAGCTATAAGAGGCTATCCGTATTACTAGAGAAAATGATGATTCACCAGTGGATTTGGCCATGTGCACCAAGCCACCAGTCCAGCCGCGCTCCAAAAAAGTCAGCCCCCTAAAATATGGTTTTCCATGTCCCGGAAGTACCTCAAGTCAGCACTTTGGAAATAGAATTCCTGCAAAGATGACGACTTCCTGTGGATGGAAGAAATCCTGCACCACCTTGGATGGTTGAACCCCTATAAATAATGGGATGTTTACCACCATTTTCAACTGGTGATTCGGATTTCGCTGGCCCATCCACAGTCTCGCCGGTGCCGCCACAGCCAGGTCGTAGCTGCGAAACTCTGACAGCGCTGGCATGGATTTTCCCGATGGATTGCATCGGACGGTAGCTTAAATTTTGCATCTGAACTGCAACGCACCTGAGTCGACAGCTGGTCAAAACGCCGCAGCGCCGTAAAGCGTGGTTCCGATGGTTGGTTTTTTTGGTGCTCGAAAGAGAGTTGGTATGATCAGTAGGACATGAATGGACATGAGTAAATCATAGTAAATCATGGAAAACAGTGTCTTCACGGACATCAGTTTTATCTGCTAAATGGTCATTTTTGCTAATGGCAACTCGCAGGGAACGCCATGCGGATTCTGGACACGAGACATCGCAGGTACCACCTCCAACCAGTCCCATTTCAAGGCCTATGAAGCGTCCGATGCGAGGCCGGGTGACGGAAAATGGTCTATGGCTTCGTCTGAAAATATCAAACAGTTTGCGGTTTGAATGGGGGAACATGATAAGCCACAGGAATTTGATGGAATTTGGGATATCATATTATTGTTGGTTACACAGTACCCAATTCCATCCCCGCTTTTTTTCTATCCTATGTACAGAATATATACACATATCCCGATTTAAATTGGCATTAAAATGGCATTAAATGGTTAGTATGTCATATCCACTCTAGTCAGGTATCCAACGGTTTTTTGATTCAGAGTTTCGTTGAAGTTTTCGGTGTTTCGCACTACTGGATGAAGCGGTTTTTGGGCCATGATCTGCTGCCAAATTCTGGAGGAATGCAAGAAGCCTCCCTTCACAAGTCAGGCGCGGAGATCAATTGTTAATAGGCCCCTGGTTATCAAATGTTATCAAATGTTATCAATGACATCAGCCACATTAGGGGGTATGATGTAGTATGGCTCATTGGAATGCTATGGAAAAAAGGGATGGTACCAATAGAAATTACCAACAATAATATGGTTCTACATAATATTACCACTTAACATTGAGAGAATATGGGGGGTACAAAAAACCATTTCCAATCGGAATCTATTATGGAATTATGACCATTTTGGTCAAGCTCGCTACCAAGCAGCCAAAGTGGGTTTTTGCTTGGACCAAGCTCCGTGAATGCGATGGTGATTATATGTGGATTGAATGGGATTGAATGGATTATATATGGATTATATATGGATTATATATGGATTATATATGGATTATATATGGATTATATGTGATTATATGGTGATTATATGTGGATTGCGATGGGATTGAATCAGGAGTTTTCTGGGTCCAGTTTCTTGTTTTTGCTTATCTTTTAACGATTAGTTATGATAACGGTGATGTTTCTTCGCTGTCTCCGTGTCTGTTTCTCCACAAAATCGGTACTCGCAGGTGCGGGATGAGAGTTCACGAACTACGGTTATCCCATTTACAATATTTAGGGGTTTCCATAGTCATGGGGGTACCCCAAAAACTGGATGGTTTATTTCATGGAAAGTCCATCAACAAAAATGGATGAGAACTGGGGGTACCCCCATTTCAGGATGGGGCCCCATTTATAAGTGTCTAAACTAAGCCCAGGTTTTTGCACGAACCACTTACGATTCATGGATCTTTCAAATAGGGATTTACTCTTCGGTCGTCAGACGATTTTCGTGCTGGAAAATCGACCAGCAGTAGTTCGATGATTTTCCCCGCTAAACCTCCATAAATAGATCGGGGATTTCTCAGAAGTTGCAATGTTTGATGACAACGGAGGGTACTTGCTATTCACAAAGAAGCAATGTGTACACATTGATCGGCTAGTCTAACGGGTCAATGATTGGAAACACACAAGACCGAGCAAAATGATGTCGTAAACATGATGCGTATTTGCAAGATATCTACCCTTCAGTGTCATCAAACATGGTGATTTCTGGATTTCTGGGAAAGAGGTTTGGTTCGCATATTTGGGTAGCCTTGGTGATGCCATTCATGGCACCTCCACTGGCCAGGCGCCAAGAGAACAAGACAGGGCTAGCTCTGGGTGTCTCGGTGAGGAGTTGTCTTATTTGGTGCCCAAGATACCATAAGATACTGTGGATGGTTGCTAAATCCTGCACCATTTGGGATTCCTATTGGGATTCCTATGAAACACGGCGTAAATCCATCAGATACCTTTGAGAAGTAGATTCATTACCAACTCTTTTTCTGCCATTTGAAACCGCGGTTTCAAGCCGATTTCAATCTATTTGTCGAATCTTATGGAGAAATAACGGTCGAAATGAGGCTTGATCATCTTGATATCTATATAAATGGGCTAAAAAACATAAGCTGTCTATTTTTTGGGTTTAACATAGGTTTAACATAAGCTGCCCATGTTTAACTTGGCCCCAAGATTAAAGGCACGAGCAGCTCTGGCAACCTGGAACTCCTGGACGGTCGATAGCTCTCGTCCATTGAGTTCATGGATGTTTATGGTAGATATAACATGATATAACGAACTAGTATTCATGGGGATTATATTTCATGGTTTATAAACCAACATTCACATCACTGGGCCCATCCTGTAGCTCAGAAAACTGAGATTAGCAGATTCAAAATGAGCAGTATCTTTTTTCTTCGGGTGACCAGCTTCCGCCCAATCAAGAGTTGCTATAGTTACTATGAGTTACTGAAATCGGTCCGGGGTCACACTTTCTCGCTGTTAGGTCCATTGCAGATTTGGGAACGCCACCGTCGGAGCCTAAAAAAATAGAAGTCAAAGGGTGAAAATGTCATGATGATTTATATCCATATTATACTATAGTTATATCATGTTATATCTACCATAAACCATATAGTTTAAGCCACTTATAGTGTAATATATACATTCATGATTTTACACTTTATACATGGTGATTTTTTCATACTTTTTCCATGATTAAACCACATATATAGATGGCTGAAAAAACTATAGTAATTTCCTCTGGTTTTTACAACTTCATTTCCTCTGGAAAAATGTTGGTTGAAGAAATGGGCCATGGCTTTTTTATTAAGCGCCCGCTTTGAAAAATCTTGCCGCCCAAGATTGGCTCATCCCATTCTTCCATTGAACTACTGATGAACATGTCCCGTTTTTCCATGGAAAAATAGGGTAAAATCTATACATGTTTCAAACAACACATTGACAGATCACCCCAGTCCCATTTCGTATGTCCCATTTCGTATGTCCCATTTCGCTTCTTCAGCAGTTTCTGAAACTGAGCGAGGTGAAGACTACCCAGCCCTTGCAACACCCTCAGATGCTTCAGGCCCGTTTTGCAGATGTGGGCAGTGTTCAAAACTCCGGTTTATGATTGTAGGGGATGATACCAACCAATATATTGAGATAATTGGGATTATCACAATCCACTAGAGGAAACCCTATCAACCCGCTAATATCGTATTATTCCAATAAGGGACCGAAAGTCAATGAATAGATCCAATACACGATCAGTGTATTTAGGTATTTCAAGAAGAGGGAAGGGAGTAGTAGGTGGAACCCCTGCTTTTCCGTTACTGTCAAGTGAATACTCCCGGTCAAGATCTTAGACGCCCCAGCATCCCTCAACCACCAGATTGGCTTGTCATCATCATTTTTGGCCTTGGGTACACCCGGTGTATCCGTTGCTTGGGGCAGTATCGTTGATTTTATTTGGAGGGCAATTTTTACAGCAAACCACCACTTTTTGAGGTCCAACATGGCTTTATTCATGTTAACCAAAAACCCTTATGAATCAGCAATAAACCATCCATGATGCTAGATGGTAGAATCAACATGAATCACTGACCAATGACAGACCAATGACACTTAGATCAAGCCACTTGTTGCCATCCCCTGCCTTGCCCCGAAGATTTGATAGATTCGATGCTGGCTATGCTGGCGGTAGGCAAGAAGTACATCCCGGCAGCCGAGCTGGTCCACATGAGACCCATCCCAGAGCGTCCCTTTGGTGCGGGCCTGGGAAGGGCCCGGGAAGGGCCCCGGGAAGGGCCCGGGAAGCCATGGCTGGGTGGGTAAGAGACTTGGGGATTTTAGACCGAGATCACCAGGCGAAACATACCGGAACTAACAGGTTGAGGAGGTTGAGGACCTGATGATTTTGACCGGCACTGGATTGTTCAACCAACATCAGGGACAAGTTGGAAACGGATGAAACAAAGAAATTAGGACCTGTGAATGAACTGAAGTTTCAAGCTGGTCCCTGACACTTATGATTGGGATTCTGCTTGGTTGGATTTAATCTTTATCAGCTGGGTCACACTTGGTCTTTTGGAGCTCACAAATCAAGCAACAACGCTTGCTATGCATTCGACTTATCCCAGAAAAACTCTTTGATGTGCAGATTCTTGAAGAGTATCTTTGTTTTTGGAGAAACATCTCTGGCTTCACAACTTTGGGAGAATTTACAGGAAACTATGGCTGTCACCATCCTTAACCCTCTGGTTTTGTTTTTTGTTTTCAAGCCATCGAAAAGGAGCCATTTGTAGATGATCTATCTATGAAACATGTACCATAACTCTTGAAAATCACCAGTTTAAATCATTTTCATAGGTAAATCATCTATAAATGGGCCATTTCCCATAGCTATGTTAGTTTACTGGGGTACCATCTTTATTGGCCCAGAGAACCTGCGAGCCTCCAAGGTGGTGTGAGCCATTATACCCAGCACCAAGCAGCTGCTCAAGAGGTGGCACCTGCAGCTGCTCAAGATGAGGCTTTAAAAGGCAACATCAAAAGGAAATTCATGTGGGGATGGGTCAAAACCCTGGTACCTAGTGAACCCCAAAATAGCTGGTAAATGGATGTTCATCCCACTAAAAATGTATCTATAGGTATTGACCCATACCCATGTTAAACCCTAAAAAATAGGCCTTACTAATGCCTTATATATGGATATATGGATATATATATATATACATACATAGGGTAGGTACCTCCAATTCATCGGTTCCTGAAATGGCTATTGAATGGGACATTTCTAGGGTACTTGGATGCGCGGGCCCCACTTAGTGTATTTTATCCCACCAGTGGGGCCCGCACCCCCAAGTACCCCACCATCTCCAGATGTCAGGCTTTGTTTGACGGTGCCCCAAATTCCGGTGCTTCATCATCATGTTCCATATTCATAGGCACCTTTTCGGTAAACACCCCATCATTGTTAGTATAATATATATATATATGTATTGATTCCCATTCTATTCCCTTTGTATTCCTCTCTCTCTCTATATATACATATACAAATGCTTGGTCTTATATCTTTTGTTTGTTGAGATATAGATTGTTGGTGATATATATATATATATATACATACACATGAAAATCCCATTCTATTCCCAATGTTCCCATGATATTAGATCTCCATGAATATCCCATGATATTCCCATCCATGATGGGAAGATGAATATCCCACGATATTAGATTGTATCCAATCTATGGGAACATTCGTCTCCCCATACTCCAATTATTCCAATGTATGTGTCCCAGTCGTATCGAATATTTTTTGAAATCCCATAACATTATGATACCACAAAAAATGGGATATTCATGATCTATTCCCATCTAATTTGATATTAAAATATGGTAACATATTATAACCATATTGATATGATGATTTGATATCAATCGATTCCCATAACTCATGGGAATATCGAATATTTTTTGAGATCCAGGTGGATTTCTTGAGATCAGATACCAGAAAAAAATTGTCAATATTGGGAGATTCTTCTGGGGTCGTTTCTCATATCGATTCCCATCCGTCCTCGCTTCGGGCGCTCGCTTCGGGCCGGGTCGCTTTTCCGACATCCCCATAGGCTCGTCACGACTACTTCCCCTATCGTGATGAATTCCATCCCAGGTGGATCTGTTGGAACTGGGACTTTTCGATGGGTTTTCGAATTGGTGAATCCTGGGAACAAAAACGTTGGCGAAGATTGTTTGATTGATGGGTTTTCTATGGTTGAACATGGGTTTTAATATGGTTGATGGGTTTTATGGGTTGAATATGGCTTCTATATGGTTTTTAATATGGTTTGATTGATGGTTCGATTAGTGGTTGATCATGGGATGACATGAGATTTTTATGGTGACAAAATGTGATTAAAAATCTGGGTTTTATAACATAGCTAACATAGCTATTGAAAATGGCCCAGTTATAGTTGATTTACCATAAAAAATGGTGGATCTTTCCATAGTTATGTAAACGTTTACCAGAGGGTATCTCTGATTATCATTGATGATCATTGATGGACATATGGAGGTTTCCATAGTCTCTCGGGGGTACCCCTGAAAATCGCTGGAGAGTTTATTTCATTGTATTTCATGGAAAATCCGAAACTACAATGGATATGAACTGGGGGTAGCCCTATGACTTAGAAAACTTCCTGGCATGGATCAGTATGCATTATGGATCAAGATTAAAGACCCACGGGACCACAGATCTACGTATGGCTAGTATTGACTATATTTTTGGGTACCTAATTTTGACCCATCTCCATATGGCTTGTTTATAGAAATGCCCAAAAAAACAAATCTCGTTTTCAAGAAGTTGATTAGTTGATTGTAGTTCTCTTTATGTTGCAATTTTTGGATAGACCCATGCAGCTTTGGGTTCTCTCTTGAGAACCCCCTCCAACCAACTTTTTTCTAACTTATGTCCCCACATTTCTTGACAGGCTCAAGGGGTGATTCCAATTTTTAATGACGATTTTGTTGGATTAACATCCACATGGTTGGGCAGACCCACCTTTCTGCACCCTGCCAGGCTTGCCATCTTTTCCATTTTTGGTGGACTTCCTAGGTTTGAGTGTTCAGAACCTCTGATGGTTGATGATCAGTTTGGGGATTATACTGTGACTATATTACCTAATATATGTGGCAGATGATCACAATTATGGGACATGCCTCTTATCTAGCCAGAAAATGATCCTCCTTTTGGAAGTAAACATTCAGTAGTCATTTCAACCATTGATAATATATATATATATCTATATATTTATATTGTATATACTGTATAATGTATATATAAATATATATTACTATTTCTACAATGTGATATATGCATTACTTTTCCTATTCTTTTCCCATCAATCCCGATGACCTGGGGATTCTCATCCATTTTTCGCAGGTCCAAGCGTCTTCTCTACGAGATGGCGCTGAATGCGGTAGATGACAGGTGTGCAGAGAGTTCTGAAATGTTATTGAATGTTAAAACATGCTAAATATGTTGGACTTAAGTGATTTTCCATAAAAAATGGGATACTAGTTAATCTTTAAATCCTGGTTAGTAACAGGTTAACGATTAGAGATACTGGGATACTGGGTGGACGAGTGAACTTCGACACCAGGTGGTCCAGCCTTTAAATGCGATTTTTCATATGTTGGACAGTGATTTTCCATGAAAAAAATACCCTCTGGTTATGACTAACATAGCCATGGAAAGATCCACCCATTTTTAAGAACGGTAAACCATCTATTTCGATTAGGGCCATCTATACCATGGCGAACTGTTAGTCATAACCAGAGGGGTAGTTGGGGTTATGGGAATGATGCGAGAATTCTTGGAATATCTGGGAAAAAATCCTTGGGATCCATGGTAAAATCATCGACTGATGTTCCCAACAGTCGTAGTCCAGGACGCACCGAGCTGAGGAGCTGAGTCCAGTTTTTTCGTTTTCTGAGTTTTCCATACTGTAGGATGAAGCGAACCTTTCGCCTTGAACATGTTTTTTTTCTTCCCCGTAATTTCATGGATGAAAAAACCCATGGGTTTCTTGTAGTGTCCGAAACTTTCCATGTCTTTCGGCGCCGCTTCGTTTTTCGGCGCCAGAAAGAGCAACGTCTCGGAAGAGACTCGGAGTTGCTTTACGCTACCCAGCAGCGTCAAGGTGGGATGGAGCTGAAAAAAGTCGCGTGCGGCTGAAAATCATGTATTCTGTGATTTTTATATATGGATTTTACATGGGTTTTATATGGATTTTACAGTAGATTTTACGATTTTACATGGTTCATCTCTGGATGTTTTCATACGCCACGGGCCCCACGGGCCAACCTGTCAGACGACTTGACCATGGCACATTCGTGCCGCGAAGAAATTGGATCCAGAGATCCTGAGAGTTAGCTATCGGCTAGATGATGGGTGAGCGAACATCTGAGATTTTGATCTACCCTCTGGTTATGACTAACAGTTTGCTATGGAAAATGGCCATAGAAATAGTGGATTTTCCCATTGAACATGGTGATTTTCCATAGTTATGTTAGTTTACCAGAGGGTACCCCCTGGTTATTTAACATAGCCATGATGATGATAAGGGGATAATGTTATGTGATTTTAATGAATATACCATCTGATAATGACTAACAGTTCGCCATGGAAAGATCCACCCAGTTTTAATAGGTAAACCATCTATTTCTATGGGCCATTAAAACCATGGCGAACTGTTAAATAGCCAGAGGGTAGGACAATTCTAGCCATTAAAAAGTACCCTGGTTAATTGATTGCTATAGGGGATCAAAAACTACCTGGTTTACTGGCGATTATGATTGCCATAGTAGGGAAACCGTTTTCAACCAACTAGTATGTCATGAGATGGGATAGGGGTATTTTTAATGGTTCAATTGGCATTTTAAGCAACAAACATGGGATGTGAAAAGCTTTGGCCACATGCTTTTGAAAAAGACACATGTTTGCTTCTTTTATCTCTTCAAAGTAAATCTCTTTCACCTACAACAAACACAGGGGAGAGCCGTGCCGTTGCCATCCGTCGGATCCGTTGCCCTTGTTTTGCCCCTGTCAGTCCCACAAGTCCCAGAGCACGGAGCAAAGCGTGGTGTCACAGCAGGGAACCTCAGCCCAGCGGAGCTTCAGGGATGGTCAAAGGGGAATCCTCCGGCGCCTTGCCGCCGGACATATCAAGCGACCAAATCAGATCCCAACGAGGCAGCTTCAGAATCCAGGTTTTGAGCCTAAAAAAAAGGTGAGGCTCAGTGAAAAGTTGGTACCTCAACTAGTTCGTTATAGCCACACCCAAATTGCCAAAGGTTCGCCAAGTTATTTGCATCAACTTAGCTACTTCTTCGGGCCTCACCTTGTAAGTCTAGTTATTATGTGTTAAAATCAACACAAAAACACCTTAGTTAACTTTTGTTTCCAAACACAATCATTCCAAAGAACGGGGATATACCGATATATCCAATGCCTACTGGTGGTGTACCCATTCCGATATTTCTCCGTATCCATCACCTAGGCATCGCTCCCTCTCCAGTTCCAGATTGCCGACCGATTGAGCCCCAGGGATGAGCTGTGACGTTTGTGCCGGGCGTTTTGTTTTTGATTTCCGTCCTCAAAATGATGATTTTGTGATGACTCTACTAGTAACTAGATATTTGTACCCATTTATGTTTTTTTGCTTCCATTTTTTTTCATCGGTTCATCTATTGATTGATTTCTCAGAGAATTGTCCTCTCAACTTGCGTCGCGGTGCGTGCCAGGGTGACTCTCTGCGTGTGGGTGGCGGCAAACCGGGTGCTTTGGCACATCGCCGAGCACAAGCATTCTTCAGGCGGGTGGGAAAAAGATGATGGTTCCGTGCGTTCCGTGCCCATTATCCCATTGGAATGGGAGAATTTTCTGGTTCCCTACTGTAAACTGTTTGATGTGGAAAAGCCCACAGTTTGTAGATCATTTTCCAAGGGAAACCCTGGGTGAAAACCACATCGAACTGTTAGTTCAACCCAAGGTAGCTTTTTAAGAGACCCTTGAGCTCGAAAGGGTCAGGGTCGATGTTGGAGCAATTTTGAAGTTGGTCCAAGACTTGGGAAGTTGTTGGCAGAGACTGCACAGGTCTTGAATATGTGAAGTCAGTATGGTGACCACATTCTTTACTTCATTGTTTGACATTCACGCAATTGTTTGGATCGCAGAATTGATTGAAGGGAAGAATTGGAGGAACCACCTATGGTACCAATGAGTTTCTGTTTTGTTGAGTAAGAGGTCCATATTTCCATGTCACTCTCATTAATATATTTCCCCTATCGAACTTGGGTCCAGTACAATGGGATAGGGAATAGTCTGAGTACATTAGAAATATTATTATATATTATTGTTATATTATCAATGATTATATATATGAGTACAATCTGTCAACATAATCCCAATCTATTATAATCTATATATGGAACAGTCTAAAGATTGCTTATCCTCAGTCATTAATCTGCAGAAAAAAATCATCGAATCCCATCCCTCGAACAAATAGGGCTTGGAGTCCGTATACGGCAAAAAAATAAAGTGTATGGTCCCAGATGGGATTCACCAGTTACAACCGTATGTTATACCCATGTTATATGCCATAAACCATATCATAACCATATTATACAACCATATTATAGAACCATATTATACAACCATATTATAACCATGTTATACCCATAGGCCCGAATATATTATAGCCATGTTATAACCACGTTATCATCCCACATTTCCACAGGTCTCCGAGCCAGTCCCATGTGGATCGTCCCCTGGCTGGGAAGGGTTGGGAGAACTGGGACGAGGGAGAAAAATAAGCAGAAAATGCTTGGAATTCAATGGCTTTTTACTGGAAAAACGGTGTGTTAGATGGATTTTATACTGGGAAAACAGGGATTTGATCTGGGAGCAGTGGAACTTTCAGCTGGGCATTGGATGGTCTCCAAGGCTGTCGATTTGACCCAAGTCCTGAATGAGAAGAAGAAGAAGAAGAAGAAGAATAAGAAGAAGAAGAGGAAGAAACCGAAGAAGAAGAAGAAGAAGAAGAAAGAAGACCAAGAAGAAGAAGAAGAAGAAGAAAGAAGAAGAAGAAGAAGACGAAGAAGAAGAAGAAGAAGAAGAAGAGGAAGAAAACGAAGAAGAACAAGAAGAAGAAGAAGAGAAGAAGAAGAAGAAGAAGGAGAAGAAGAATAAGAAGAATAAGAAGAATAATAAGGAAGAGAATAATAATAAGAAGAAGAAAAAGGAGAAGAAAAAGGAGAAGAAGAAGAAGAAGAGGAGGAAAAGAAGAAGAATAAGAAGAAGAAGGAGAAGGAGAAGAAGAAAACGAGGAGGTCAAGAAGAAGAAGAATATAAAAAAGGAGGAAAAGAAGAGGAAGAAGAAGAAGAAGAAGAGGAAGAAGAAGAGGAATACTAATAATAAGAGGTGGAAAAAGAAGAAGAAAAAACATATTAGTAGCAATAATAAGGATGATCATAATATAATAGAAATAGGAAGAAGAAAATGAGAAAAGAGGAAGAAACAGAACAGAAGAGTACCTATTATGAAAAGTTTCACCAAAAGACTGAAAATGCCAGAGAAGTGTAAAGGCTTAAACTTGAAGAATTGCAGAATGCTACAGCAACTGGACAAGCCTGAGAACATATGGGCTTGCCTGAGAATAGGCTAGCTCAAAATCCAATGATTAATCCGAGACTGAGGAGAATGGTACGTGAGCATGAACGAGAAAGAGGGTCCAGCAGCCATTTACACCACAGTCAGCCCCTCAGCATTGTATCCAGCCGTGATTCGCGAGGAAAAATGCCACTTTTGAGAAACCTGGTGGTTGATAGTAGTGGGCTTTGATAGTATTGTTAAGTTACTATCTTAAAATGGTAAAAACAATTTTGATATCTAGTCATAACTCATATGTCACTTATCATGATATTGAGATTACGATTACTGTTATATATATATATATGGGTATGGGTCAATACCTATAAGTACCATTTTTAGTGGGTTATTCACATCCATAAATCCCAGCTATGAATTGGGGTTCACTAGGTACCAGGGTTTTGACCCATCCCCATATATATTTATATATCGGCATGACATTTTTCACCTGTCACCCGCTGGCGTTTTTCCGGCAGAACTATCGTCCGCGCTTCTACAAAGACAGCTTGGACAGCTACAGCCAGGCCCTGGCGGAGGCGTGCCGCGAAAGCGCGAAGCCGCGAAGCCTGTGGCTTGCTATTACTATCCATAGTCTATGGTATTTGGTTTATTTGGGGGGTACAGTACCATATTAATATATACATACACAATATATTATATAGAAATATATATATATATACATATTTACAATTTTATATAATTATATATGTCTGTAACCATGGTTAGCAATAGCAACCCCCAAATAACTGTCGTAACTGGTAGCTATTGTTTATGGATGTGGCAATTAAAACTGTGGTTTTTATGAGCCCACTATCCGATAGAAAGAGGTTAATGTTCTCACAGTTTTAGTCGGATTTGACCAACTTTGATCTTTTGGGGGGCTACTATAAGCATTTTGACCATCTGGTTTGACATAACATATATATATATATTATATATTATATATATATATATATTGATATCTGAGAGCCTAATGGAGATTTTTTTGGGTCACAAAGCAGGGCTTTCACCCCAAAAAGTGGGGTGTTTAGCCAATGAACATATGGGGATTCGACCATTTTAAGCAACAGCAAGTTTTGAACCCAGCACCGCATTTGGCCTGGGCCCATTGTTGTTTTCTAACAGCTGCAAAGTGATCCCGGTGCAACCGCCCGCTGCATCGAAACTTCAGATTCTTGCGTCTGCTGCAAAATCACTATATTGTATACATATTGTAATATATTTTTAGATCATGTGCCATTCCATTTCATCGGTGCCATCGCCCAGATGTCCGCTCTATTAGATGGCGAAAGAGAAACACAACCTCGGACGAGGACGAACAAGTAGGTGCGATGCTCCGATGCCGTTGGACTCAACAGCCGAGGTTTGATCAATGGATGATTATGGGTGATAATTACTACAGTTAACTGTTAACTTGTTGTTTTTACATGTCGATTTTTCTGGCGTACTTGGAGAATCATCCCAGGGAGATCGGGGTGAAGGCAACTACCGTACCCGGTAGGTGATCTCGTTCGTCCCCGATTCCCTAGGGTTATCCCATGAAAAAAGTGGCACGAAGCCGCCAAACATTCAGCACTAGCGGGGTGATCCTCCAAAGGTTGTAAAATCATGTAAACTCCCATCAATGCATGGCGAACCAAGAGATTTTTTCAGAACCGACGGTTTCTCCTCAAAAAACAGGGTAAAAAAGGCCGAACTCACAATTTTGGAACAGGGGAACAGGATGATCAACCCATGTCAAGCCCTGCTGTGCCGCAGGCGATGGTGTGAGCTGGTGTAGCTGGTTGACAACCACAATGTAACTTTTGGTGAAAAGGAAAGCATGGTTTTTAGCCCCAAATTGATTGGGTTTTCCTGCGCATTCTCCCTGACACACAGAGGAACATCCTGCATAATCCTGCCAAAAACAAGCTTTTTGCAAAACGGTTTCCTCTACACTTCAAGTTTCACTGTGTGCCCCTGCCCGCAAATGCGGCTTGCTCGCACAAACATCACGCAATGCGCATGCGGAAAGGGAGGTCGACTGGGGGGTGGTCAGCGATCTCGTCAAAGAGCTGAGTGGGAATCGAGTGATTTGCAAGATTACTCAGGAACCACAATCATGAACCATACCCCCAATACTTCCCCAACCATCGACCAGTTTGGGGTCACAGTTAAGACAATTTCATCAACCACTACTATTGGGAATAGTTTATAGCCTGGATTCCGCAGAAACTTTTTTTGGTGCGAGTTGCAGATAGCTCAAAGAGCAGCTGTGGTTTGTTGATTTTGTTCATCTTGAGCCATTCCTTGTGGCCACGGCAATTCCTGCCACACGACAAGCCGCAGTTTCCGAGCGATTCACCCGAGTTGATTTAGTTTGCTCCAGAGGCCAGGGATGGGGAAAATGAAGTTTTAAACCATTGAAGTTCTGGAGTTTTCACATACTTTTCAGCTAGCAGAGCCACATTGCCCGCATTGCATGATTACTGTAGATATATCTCATTGCATCGCCATCAATATTCGATGAAGTGATTATCATCACCAAGAATGCCATAGAAAAAACCATGATTTATCACTATCATCCATTTTATTGTGGTATTTTCCATGAAATTAACCATCCAGGAGATGGCGCACAAGTTGACGCGTTGGAGCGTTGGGCTCGACAGATGAAAACAGATGGGGTTGACGATGTTGATGTCACTTTTATAACTCGTTAGTAACTATGGTTATATATATGGGATATCAATGGTGATTGGGATATAGTCACTTAATTTATATGCTTGTATAGTCACTTCACTTAGAGGCCATTGATATATGAGCTATTTTTTGACTATAACCAACATCTATGGTGATTCTATAGTTATAACATGTTATAACCAATGGTGACTATAATATCTATTGATCTCATTTAATTTCTATAGCCACCTAATAAATCATTGACTAATGGTGACTGCTTGGAGGTTCTGAGGTTTATGGATGTGTATAGGGGATAATAACTATATTTATATAACTGGGCTCAATGTTTACTAATGTCTATAGCTGGCTTAACTACTTGGAGGATCATCCCAAGAATCGTGAGTGGTGCGTGTAAACATGGGCTTAGTTTATATGGGGATGGGTCAAAACCTTGTACCCCTGGTGAACCCCAAAATAGCTGGGATTTATGGATGTTCATCCCACTAAAAATGGTATTAATAGGTATTGACCCATACCCATATAATGATTTACAAATCGAATCATCTACTGAATGCGGACTTAGGATCACCGGATCACCAGGCTTTTTTCTATCAGTGGGATGATCCTCGTGGTGATATGTCCCATGTCCCAACTTTTTTAAGTTGCTGAAGTCTCCGTGAAGCCCCATATAAACCATGGCTACTTGAGCAATGTTCGAAACCCCTGTTGGTTGATTAATGATGATGGGGGTTGTGCTACCCTGGATGTTTGTTGGGGATTGTCATAATGATGAAGTGGGAAATCCATGGAAATCCGTTCTCAACCAGCCCACGGATCGTTGCTCCAGTAACCTCCTGGGTGATCGTTGGTCGTCCCCGATTTAGAAAGGTCCCTTTTTTCAGATGGCTTATCCCATCGTGGCTTATCCCACATATATATATATACATATATATATACATATATATATATACATATATATATATATATATAGATGGCTTAAAACTATTAAAACATCTATGGTCTGTGCTTACCACTTAGGATCTGTGGGATTGTCCTCCAAGCCAAACCCACTCAATGCCATAAATGGGAAGGATGAACATCCATAGATCGCAGTTATTTTTGGGTTCACCAGCGGATCCCATGGGTTTGGGCTTATGCCCGAATGATCTTTTTTTTTTCTAACAATCGAATGAGTGGAGAATCCAACGTTGCAATATTCGAATATTCGAATATTCGGGGAAATGAATGGTGAAATCTGAGATTGGCATTGTGAATCCATGTTTTTTCCAAATTTCAGACAGTTGGGGTTCCCTGAAGACTGGAAGTTTTCGCAGCCGCAAAGGACCAAGGACAAACAGAGGAGGGGCCAAGCCGACAAACAATGGACTCATTGAATGAGACCAAAAAGCGCAGCTGCAAAGAAGCCAAGACAGACACGACCGCCGCAGAAAAAAACAAGAACCAGTGCCGCAGGTGGAGGCTTGCCAGCTGCGTGCCCTGCACAACGGCCGTGAGAACAGAGTCAGACGCGCCAACAACGGTTCTCGCGGACCGTGCAAGCCAGCTCCTAACGGAGACTCGGCAGCACCCACCGCGAAACCACCAGCAACAAAGGCGCCAAACGGCACAGGACCCCGGACATGCAGCTCGATTTAGCTCGATTTTTATTTGCTTTGGGGACTTGAGAGCCTTACCCAAGATAAATGTCATATCAGAGGATGCTTTTGATGGTTTCAAATCTGAAGTTTGTAAACCAAGTGAAAATGGAGGTGCGGCGTAGTTCTGTTCTGGGGGAAATTCGAGCCGTTGGACTCTGAGATCTGATCTGTGAAACAACAAGATGGGGTTATATAAGCCAGGTTTTTACGGAATTGTCCACAAAATTGTATTGGGCATGTGGTTGTGACACCGGAAACTAGGAAGGTGAAGAATTCAACTTGCAAATGGCTTGACCATTTTGGACTTGCATCTTCCACCAGTTCTGGTGTTTTGCATACTGATGCTGAGAGGGCAGTTTCAGAATTAGTTGGCACGAGTGCTGGGAAGTAAAGATTCATTGTGCGATGTGCACGACCTCAACAACATCAGTCCAATGGAGGTGCAAGATCAGAAGGTTATGTCAAATGCTACAGATTGCGTTGTGCGGTGAGCCCATTTCAAAATTTTCAAGTAGCATCCTTAATTGGCGACCTAAGCACGCAGGAGGTGCTGGACGGCTACCGCCGCGAACGGCGGCGCGTGGTGCGTCAGCAAAAAGCCTTCCAAAAGGCCAATCAGAAGACGCTGGGCTGGAGCGTCCTCACACACTGGCCCACGAGGACACTAACCGCAAGCATCAGGTCACGAACTGACATGCGGAGTACCTCCCAAACAAAGCCATCTCTGCGATTTTTTGGTTTATTTGGTACCTTCTTTTAGAGTCCTTGACGTTTTTTTGCATGATTAGAGACTAAACAGATTAGAGGTTCCCCAAAAACGGGGATAGAGATATGTTATATACTAACCGTACCGCTTGCTGAAGGGAACATTTACAACAAGTCCCCAAAGATTTGGATGGCAATCCCTGGCCGGCCCTTTCTACAAACCCAGTGGAAGTTGGCAAATATGGAATTCGACCATTTATTGATGATTTTCCATGATTTCGTCCATAAAAATAGGCTCCCCGCAAATCCGATAGTTACTCATCATTCTCCATATTCTGTTTAACATTTCAGAATACAATTAGCAAAATAGTCCAGCCGTTAATCATCATAAGTAAGATTAACAATAAGTACTGAGATACCATAAGTTAATCATTCTCCATCTTCCCAATCGGACTTAAAACGTTTTTCGGATTTTCCCAGCTTATAACTTGCCGATGGCCAGCCTTAGGTCAGTGCGGCAATGCTTCCTCTCAGACCTTTGAGGCACGGATCCATCGAGTGGAAATTTCCATCGTTCCTAAGTGGATGCCACTTACTCTCTGGTAATTTGTTACAGTTTGCTATTGAAAATGGCCCATAGAAATAGTTGATTTAATTGATTTACTTGTTAAAGATTGTGATTTTCCATAGCTATGTTAACTTACCAGAGGGTAGGGTTTGTGAAACAGTACTGTTAAGTACTTTCTAATCGCGTATTAAGTATTGTTTGACAAATGGTGATACTTCAGCAATCGTTGGAACTTTGACAGATATTAACTTAGCCAGCAACTTTTAGACCGGCCGTGTCGGGAATCGGTTTCGCTCCTTTCTCATCATTTTCGTTCACCTTACCTTTGTGGGAAACAGTTTATGGCATTGTCCCTGCGGATTAAAAATTCAATGCTAGATTCCCAGAGCCATTGGTTTTGGTTGTTTCTAGTAGTAAACCATCCTATGTTTTGGGTACCCAACTTTGACCCATACCCATCTCACTTGCCAATATCGAAAAATCCGCAATATTTTGGAAAGCTATACGCATTTTCTTCTGCCATATTCGTGGTTTAAACTTAAGGTTTGCTGAAATTTGATCTCCGTTTCCGCTTTGAAAAACCTAAGTTCTTCGAGTTTTTCGGTTAGGCGCAGCCTCACTGCATCTGCGCCCAGCAACATCGCCTGCATCTTTGATGCGGTGAAGTGAGAGCTCTCAGGGCGGTCGCTGCCAATGATGGTTATATGGGGTTATACTATCCAATGTGTAAATATATGCATATACGTGTATATATATTTATATGTATATCCACATGTATTTGTAAATGTGTATATATGTATATTTGTATTTATAAATAGCATATATGCATATATGCATATATGTAAGTATGTATGTATGTATATATGTAAATATGTAAATATGTAAATATGTAAATATGTAAACATGTAAATATGTATACGTGTATATATGTATATATGTATATGTGCATACATGTCTATATGTCTATATATATATATATATGTATACTTGTATATGTGTATATATGTATATATGTATATGTATATATGTATATATGTATATATGTATATATGTATATATGTATATATGTATATATGTATATATGTATATATGTATATATGTATATAAGTATATAAGTGTATATGTATATATGTTTATATTTATGTTTGTATATATGTATATATGTATATATGTATATATGTATATATGTATATATGTATACATGTATATATGTATATATGTATATGTAAATATGTTTTTTCAATATGTAAACATGCATATATGTACATATGTATATATATATATATTTGTATTTATGCATTTATGTATATGTGTATATATGTATATATGCATATATGTATATATGTTTATATGTTTATATGTATATATGTGTATACGTATATATGTATATATGTATATATGTAAATATGTATATATGTATATGTAAATATGTTTTTTTTAAATATATGTAAACATGCATCTATGTATATATGTACATATGTATATATATACATTTGTATTTATTTATTTATGTACATGTGTATATATGTATATATGTAATTTTTTTGAATATTTGTATGCGCATGTATTTGTATGTGTATATATGTATATGTGTATATATGTATATGTGTATATATGTATATATGTATATGTGTATATTTGTATGTAGATTTGGGCGATTATCACAATCCATGGCTACTTGACTTGAGCAACGTTCAAAACCCCTTGTTGATTGATGATTAATTGTTGCTTAACTATGACACAGGGGGGGTTTTTACATGTTTTGAGCATCATTGTCTTGGGGTTATCACTGGAACACCATCAAAACAGATGCGGAGATAGTTGATAATTTGATGGCTGGTTGATGATTGTATGAGGTTATTCTAGCCAAATGATATGTATATATATATGTATATATATATATATAGAGATTGCGGGGGTTATCACAATCCATCATGTGTTTTTAGCATGGATATCCTTTTCCCATTGGTTGGTTGATTAATGGAGGACCATCCCATGAAAGACATTGAAAACAACCAATAGGCAAATGATGATTTAACGGTATCCAAGCCAGCCCATCTGTTTTTCCGGACATGTGGGCTTTTTAATGTGGCAAACATGCAAGAAATTTGCGTTTTTCTTTTGTTTAATGCGAGAATTTTCATGAGAGTTATGCTAAAATCACCTCGAATTGTGGTGATGTTTATTGGTAGCATGGATTTAAACCTCCATGAATTTTGATGGCCCATCTGACTGATGGGTTTCTGTATCCACTGGAACTGCTCAAGCGGTACAAGCTGGTGTCTGGTAGCTAAGTTGCTTCAGAACTACTACAGACTGCTGAATTTAAGGTATATATATATTCTGTATATATATATAAATCCGCAGTCAATAGGGTTTATAAACCAACTTATAACTGGGGTCACCACATTGTATGATGAGGAACAGCACTCTTTGAAGTAGGTTGGATAGTAGATTTAAGAAGCCATGATGAAGTTGTGCTTACACATTTTTGACACTTACCTTTGTAGGTTTTCTGGTATGTTTCTGTCTTTTTTGGGGTTTGCTATATTGGCCGGTTCCATGCCGATTTACAACAGGTATTTATCTTTAACTGGGGGCTCCAACATTTCCACCTATAGCCACAATATGTTACATATACATACTTTGTAGATTTACACTTTAATAGTTTGACATCTGTCGATAGAATAGGATCCACATAGAATAGGATGGAATCAACTAGGTAGATACTTGGATAGATAGAACGATATAGACAGTATATATGCATAGAGATCCACAGAGATAGGGACAGAGAACTAATCCATTTCCCCGTGGATATTGAGCACCCGTAAGCCAAACCATGGTGGATGTACTGGATGAAACCAACTCTTTGGAACCTGGAACCATGGTGGTGGAACTAACCATGGATAACCAATCATGAGACTATGAACCATATCCCATTCAACTGGTTGGCAAACATTCATTACATTTTGCGGATCTCATGTTCGGAAACATGATTACAGAAATAGGCTATTCATCATAGTAACTAAAAAGTTAACCATATTCAGTTCCCCCCAGCTCTGGCCACAACATTGCGGATCTCATTCATTGGATTGGTTTACGGGACAATTTACAAGAAAACCCCATTTTTGACAGTAAAAACCATGGTTTCCTGTAGATTTTCCCTTCAACCATGGCTTCCTTGAATGGAGGTTCAAGCTGAGTGAAGCTGATCGGCTGAACCGGAAAGGTGAAGCAGTCGAGGCCTGGAGTTGCTCATGAAAACACGGAAACGCAAAAATTTGGGCGCTGCAAAAAACATCCCATAGAAAAATGGGGGATTTCAGCAAAAATAGCTTCTGCTAAATATACGTAACATAATTTTGGAAAATCACAATTTTTAATGGGAAAACTCACTATACATGGCCATTTTCAATAGCTACTTCAAATTACCAGAGGGTAAATGGAGAACAGCTAGGTAAATAGGGATTCAATGAACACCATGCAATTGGATATATATGACGGGATGGGAAGATACAGGGATATCATGAAGGAAACAATGTGACATGGCTCTGAAAATGGAGAGTCCCCATAACAAATGGCCATTTGTCATGGGTAATACGACACGCAGTGGATCCACGCAGTGGATCTGTGGAGTGCTGATTCACCTGTCCAGTAGTCTGAGCCATTAAGAATACCTCTGATGGGTTAATGTAGGGGATTGTGCCACCTGTTTTATTTGGGATGATTATGATCCATGATAGGAATATTTACTAACCAACCAGTATAACGAGATGAGATACATTTAGATTTTTTTTTTCCTATCAGTACTTTGCACATTGGTCATGAAGCTGGTGTCCCCCATCTTCGAATCGGGTAAGCCCAAAAAAACAATTGGGCAAGGATTTGTCTGAAAATCAAGCGAACACAATTTCGGTGCTTTACCATGATTTCCTATGACATGTTTGGGCAAACCGGGCAAACCTAAGAGTACCAAAACCCATGGGATTGCACCGTAGTGTTGGTAATGTGTTGGTTTTATATCCACACATATATAATCTTCATATTCAAATCAACATACCATTATTCCTATATATATATATATTCCCCTAACATTAGTTACTCTCTATATTTCTTCCATGATTTGGTTTGGGGGGTGTTTAATGTTAACTGCGGGAAGGGTTTGATTATACCATGAATATCCCCATCAAGTCCCATTTTACCTATGATATCCCCATATGATTGGTGATATCCCCATTGAAACCTGAAACCCATTAAGTTGTGGTGATTACTTAATTACATTATGCTTGATGATGTACTTATTATTATTATTTTCCCATGATATACCAATAAAGATCACCATATATATATACACATAGATATTCATATGTATGTATACACATATACACATATGTATCAATATAGATATATGTATGTAATGTAATGTAACGTAATGTAATGTAATGAATGCATGTATGTATATATATATACATACATATATGTATATATTTATTTATCTATACAATGGCAGTAAACTCTACCCCCACTTTTCTTGTCCCGGTATCAGGCGCGATCCTTGTACTTAGAAGCTCAGAAAGCTGCAGAGATTGGCAGCCAGGTGCTTGGGCTGAAGAATTTAGAAACTGTTTAGGGAAACTGTCTGAAATCCTATGCTTTAAAAACCGTAAAACATGATTTTTGCCGATGTTCATCGACTTGAATTTTTGGGATATCCGTAACCGAAGTACATCGGAAGGTTCAAAATGCAGAAAATTCCGCAATAATCAAACCATGCACTTTGACATCACGGATTTATAGCTGTCTAACCCGAAATGAAATGGTGTGGATCAATTAATCCTGCTACCCTGGTATGGTGATTTACCTTCACTATATAGCAAAGTGAAGATACACAATGATGATCAACCACTGATTTGCGGGATAATAATGGACAACCCCATATAACTGCAGGTTGTCTCATTTACAACTGCGAAAAGTGTCCATGGCTATTTTCCGCTGTATCCACTTACAACCATCTACTATGCATCCTCAAAAAATACTGAGCGGATGTTGTTTGCTTTAACCAACTTAATTCGATGAGAGCTGGGATATGACCGATTGGGGTACACAAATGGATGTGGATAGAACATGATAGAACCAACCCGCTGGGGGGGTTCCCCTAAAACTGATTGGAGTGCTAAAAAAAAACTGATCTTGACGGATTTGACTTGGCCAACGGTGTTTATATACATATATACATACATATATATATATACATGCATATATATATACATATATATATATATACATATATATATATATATCCCAGCAAACATCCATCTCCAACCGGTGTAGCCGGGCCCCCGTAGGACGTGCGACGCGATGGTCACGCGGCACGGCTGCAGCTGCTGGCGGCCCGCTGGCCGAAAGCTGGCCTGGAGCGACGCGTTCCGCTGCAGGTGGCCATCGAGGCGGCGCTGCTGCAAGCCGAGGAGGTGCGCCACGGATTTTGGGGAATTCATATGGGATGGAATCTATGGGATTTTGGGAAACCTGGTTGGCACCGGTTGGCTGAAATAGATGGGAAAAAGACATGACACATTGGATTCCAAAACAGTTTGACCAGTGAGACATGGGAATTCATAGGATTATTTTAACGATGGCTGATGGGATTCAATGGAATCTAATACGGATGCCAAAGTACAATCTTTGGGATGTCTAAGCAAGGACACTTCATGGATTTAAGATACCACAATTGGGGTTAAACATCAGGATGGGGACCCCCAGTGATGTGAATGTTGGTTTATAAACCATGAAATACCGCCCATTAACTATAGTTATATCATATTATATCTACCATAAACCATAGAATTCAGCCACAAAAATGTTCGGCAACGGTTCACGCGATCGCTCGAACAGGGGCCCCATCCAAGCTATCGAACATCTGGGGGAGTTCATGGGGATTTAACCCGCCAAGAACAACAAACTAAAGGAGACATTTATGATTGAACGCACTCGATCTGGAAGAACATATCTGGATTCCATGTGGGTTTTGTTGGAAATAGGGTAAAAACCACATTCGTGGATTGAGTAGAAAATAGAGTAGTATGAATAGGTATGGATCAAAGTTTGTTTTGCTGCATTTGAAAAAAATGACTTGTCTTTTTTGCTTGCCATTTTTGGAAAATCTAGTGCCAGATCTGGAGCCCCATTATCGATGAACATGAAATGAACATATCGCAATTTCAGCGTTTTTTTGTTGAGAACTAATGAAGCTGAAGTGCAAGATCCAGATTTTTGATGATTTTTGCGATTCTTGGGGTGGTTCGATATGGGGGTTTCCATAAATGGGGGTACCCCAAATGGATGGTTTATAATGGACCATCCTGTTAAAAAGGATGATTTAGGGGTACCCCTATTTTATGAAACCTACATATTGCGAGCGGTTCCTTTTCATTTTGGATGCTCAACTCATCCCAAACTCATTTTTCGACCATTTCTGAGGCGTCTGCAGAGAAATTCGCAGTTTGATACTGCGAAGAGCTCGCTGTGAAGAGCTCGCGAAAATGGAAAAGGAACTCGAGAAAACAATAGGCCTGAAAACTAAGTATTTCAGGCTGATGCTAAGAATACAGAAGACATTTTGGTTACATTTACTTTCCGGCAATCAAATATGGCAATGGAGGATCCAGCGTTTATAGATGAGTTTCATTGATTTTCACATTAAAACCTCCATTGATAGAAGATTTCCAATTGCCATCTTTGATAGGCGGGGGGGGGGTAAGATTGATATCCCCAAGAATTTCGGTTTATAAATCCCAACATTGTTGATGGTAAAAACCTGACTTGTTTTTTACATGTACCCTCTGGTAATTTAACATAGCTATTTAAAATGGCCATTTATAGTGAGTTTTCCCATTCAAAATGGTGATTTTCCACAGTTATGTTAAATTACCAGAGGGTAAGATGTTTAAGATGTGTAAGATGTTTTAGATGTTTTGTTCGACTGATCTCTGGAAGAACTCTTGTCCAACATGTCACTCGAGCCTTCCTATCAATCCCGGGTAGATAGGACGAAGGCCGTTGGATCCGAAGCTTGAAGGTGTTCCAAAAAATGGGGCTCTGTGGTATAAAACCAATGATCAACCATCCCCAATATCACCAGGGTGAAATCATGCCCAAATGATTTGAATGGTAGGCAGGTTTATTGCATTGTGTGAATCCCACATTCGGTTTTTAGTTGTTGTCCGAGAAAAAAACGGTTGGGAAGATGAGCCAACATTTTCAGGGCTAATTCGGTGAAGATGTTGGTAGCAGGGTCCCCAGTTCATTGATTGCAGCAATCCCTTTCAAGCGGTGTAGTATAACTGTAAAGATTCACCATCATAATCTGCCAATTTATCGGGAGAACATTGGAAATATTGGTATCTATGCAGAAGTATTGGGAAGTATTATTGGACCTATTTGGATATCTATTTATAAGAATCACCACTTTCCATCATTTCCATCCCGGCTTGGATGTTGCTGGTCACCTTACCTGGACCGCCTGGACCGTTTCCATGAAGATTTTTGGTCCATCCAAAACCGATACCACGAAAAAACGCTTTTCGTGGAATCCCAGGAATCAACCATGATGATTAGAATCCCACGAAAACCGTTTTTTTCCCATGATTAAGGGGCTGCGGATTGAGCGACAGATCAGAAAAACTGGGCAAGTGCCCAGTGCCTTGCATCCCAAATTCACTTCGTTCCAGCGAGGGACGGCACGACACGTGCCAGTGCAGGATCAAGATGTGAAGCACAGCTACTTTTGTCATATGCTGAATTATTGACCTGGTTGGTGGTGACTGGAACCATGGAATTTTGAATGACTTTCCATTCGGGAATGGAAAATCATCCCAACATTTCCGAAGTCCATCATCTTTCAGAGCGGTAGGTATACCATGGCTCAACCACCAAGCAGATTTTCCTGTTTTTACAGATAAAGCATGTACCCTCTGGTGAACTAACAGTTTGCAATGGAAAGATCCACCATTCTTAATGGGAAAATCCACGAAATAAATAGCCATTTTCCATAGCAGCCATTTTCCATTGCTTTTTGTATGTTCACCAGAGGGTAAATCCCATTAAATTACCAATAAATCCCATTAAACCACCATTAAACCACACATTTTTTTTGTGAGTCACCACGTTGCAACAGATGACGTTTCTTCGTGGATTTCACCACGTTCCACCTTGATCCGACTCCGACTCCGCGCAGGAAGAGCGACCGATGAAGGTTAGATACTGACTGCCCCATTTGCAATTGCAGTATATACAGATATACATACATGTATACATATAGCATATATATATATGATGTATACATATAGCATATATATATGATGTATACAGCACATAAATATATATATATATATATAATGTAGTGGAATGTAGTGTAATGTAATGTAATGTATGTGTGTGTATGTACGTACGTACATAGGTACGTACGTATTATAATGTAATGTAATGTAATGCAATGCAATGCAACGCAGTGCAGTGCAATGGAATGAATGTATACAAATATGTAGATGTATATGCAGATACAGACATAGATACTCGTATGTATCAAAACATGTACTGTATGTAACAAAGACATACATACATACATACATACATACATACATACATACATACATACATACATACATACATACATACATACATACATACATACATACATACATACATACATACATACATACATACACACACATACATACACACATATGTACTACAATGTGTAGATAGATAGATGGATGGATGGATAGATAGATACATACATACATACACACACACATACATACACAAATATGTACTACAATGTGTAGATAGATAGATGGATGGATGGATAGATAGATAGATAGATCGATAGATAGATAGGTAGATAGATAGATATATAGATAGATAGAAAGTTAGATAGATAGAAAGATAGACAGATAGACAGATAGAAAGTTAGATAGATAGACAGATAGACAGATAGACAGATAGACAGATAGACAGATAGACAGATAGACAGATAGACAGATAGACAGATAGACAGATAGACAGATAGATAGATAGATAGATAGATAGGTAGGGAGGTAGATAGATAGATAGTTAGAGAGATAGATAGGTAGACAGATAGGTAGATATCGGATTAGTTTCACCTCTCTAGCCATTCGTGAGTTCTCGGTTGCGGACCGTGCGCACCTTACGTGTTTTCTCCGTATTTCCGCTGGGGACTCGCTGGGCTCTTGTGGGTGGAGCAAAATCAAAGTGAAATCATTTGGAAGATAGAATAGCATCAACATAGAAAAGAATAGGACAGAATTAAATAGGTAGATACTGGGATACATCTCATTTCTTGCTGCTTACAATCCTTTTTGTCGCAGTTTGACATCCAATTTGCTGGTGAGAATCCTACTTGTTGCTGGTTAAGATCCTGTCTTCGTCGCTAAACCTCCAACTTTCCCTTGGCGCAAAAGAGTTTGCTCCATAAAGCACGAACTCGGGCCGCAAGCCGCAGTTCCATCTGCAATGGGTGGCTTTGAGAGGAATTGGTAGGGCCCCTATATCTTCATATATATATATTCAAGTAAAATTGTTTATGGTATAAATTTGTCTTTCCCAAATTGAGCACGGATTCTAACATCAACAAATTTCTTCGTGAGACAGTGATGAATCCACCAATTTTAAGGTGAGGTCGTCCCAGGATTCATTCGATTTTGGCCCCTTTTTTGGCTGATGGTTTGCTACGCGCTCTTCGGGTGCTAATGACTTCTGTGGTAAACGTGTGGTAAACCGCTATAAAATAGCAATTTGCCATCATTTTTAGATATTTTTAGCACTAATTTTGCTAGATTTGTGGGGATTGGAACCATCTCAAATGGGAGATTGTTTCTGAAGTGACCGCATCGCGGCTGTCTCTGAAAGCCACTTTTTCTGACGCAAAGACGGCTACGGAGCGAGACGAACATTTGCCTCAGGCTGTCCTTTTGCTTTACCGAACCGTTTCTTCATGAAACTTCTTCATCCTTCAAGATCCCAGAGATTCTCAAGAAATTCTCAACTAACGTGGGGTAAAACTGGCTGCCATGTTTACCATCCCCCAGTCATCACCATTTATATAGGTGGTATAAACTTACCATTCCCAGTCATGGGTGGTAAAAATTACATTGTTTTACCCACATTAATCACATAGGATCCAGCAATAGGATCCACCATCGACCGTGGGTTCCATGCCAAAACGAAGCTTGTGGATCAAGGCGACCTTGATATCTCGTCAAATGGCAAAACATCAAGGTGAATCTCATGATTATCCTGTATCTGGGTATGGATCAATACCTATTAATACCATTTTTAGGGGGATGAACATCCATTTACCAGCTATTTTGATGTGAACTACAGGGGTACAAGGTTTTGACACACTGCCATCTAGATGTATCATGATGTACTCAAGATGGAAACTTTCGAAGTTCATTGAAGCGACAAAACATAGATGGCAATGGATCAATGATGATCAATACCAATATATATATATACCAATATTTTGTTTAGTGGACCAGACACTCTGAGAAAACTCACCGTCAGGCCTTACAAACGCCATGACTTCCCTTGCACATCGGGACCCTACTCGCAGGGGTACCGAAAAGCAGGTGGAGATTATCAAGGTGACCCGCGTGTTTTCGGATGGCCGGTGGCCTTGAGTGCGGTCATGTTTGTTCAACATGAGCCTCTGGTGATTAAAAACAAACTTACTATGGAAAATGCTTCATTCATGGATATTTTACCTATATTTTACCACATTTTTCCATATTTTACCTATAAAAAATAGTGATTTTCCAGTTCGCTATGTTAAGTAACCAGAGGGTACTATCAGTAGTCATTCAGCACCAAGATACTGATGAATGATGATCCCAACCCAAAACATTGGGGCACTGCCTTTTTTTTGGGGGATGCCAACAAGATATGAGCTATGGTCAATACTCATGGTTAATAATCATTGATAGGGGCTAGTCATCCAATGGTTCATAGGGATTTATAATAACCATTATAAGGATCCTTATTATGGATGGGATGACCATCAACCATATAGTGAGTATTGACCATGGCTCATATGGTTTGTTATGTTAGTTGCTGAATGTTGCAACTAAACTGTTGGGAACCATTGAAAAATGCTCAATGTTGCTTGGTTCGTGATGCTACTTGGATGATTTCTGTTAAGCAAGTAGCTTAGCGTAGCTTTGATTGACCAGCACCAGCCAAGCATTTACCAACACATCAACCAGCATTCCGGGCTACCCGGTTCTTGGGACCCCACAAAAACCTTTGCTGATTGAGGGGAGCTTGTGGGATAACACTTCCAGTTTCAGACAGATGGGGGGAAAGTTCCAATTGTGATAGTTCCAATTGCGGTACAGCGCCATCACAAACTGGACAGTTGCTGATTGATACTGGGCTACAATTTTCACTAGGTGGTAACCCTGCAGGAAGATGTTGGGATATTTTTGGCACTTGCTCACTATTTGTTGGACCATTGGTTAGCGGGTTAGCTGGTTAGCCTAGTTAGCTGCTAGTGATTTAGACATGTGTCACCTGGGCTCGGGGACTTGTTCAACGCAGTGTGGTACTGGGTATTTATCGATTGTCCCACCATATTTGTTGGTTCCTTG